CAGTACTATAGAAATAAGCCAACCCAAAGGCACCACAACACAAGTTTAATATAAAGGGTCAAGCTTAACTCTTAATTTCTTGACTTTTCCATGTGTCTCAAACTTAATTTTATCAAAACACAATTGTTTGCATTTACTTAGACATTTATGTAAGAAAAAACATTAATCTGAAACACCAACATGTGTTTAAATGGTAAACATGTAGCAATCTAGCCTCTCCTTGATGCACACATACAATTTCCATTAATGGAAACAGGAGTTCTTCTGTTGCTTCAGGGAGGAACAAATCTCTTATTTAGGCAGTTTTAGGAGGAAAAGGCAGATTATGTACCCGATTTAACTAAAACTACTCCTATGGAGCAGCTGGGGTTTATAGTGTATGTCTGTATTTAATAACATTAATCCTTATTGCGTACTGACACAATATTAAAGATAGTGTACTTTAAAAGTTACTGCACAAATATACCTTGGACTCACGGACTAAGGGCCTGAAAAACATTTAAAATCCCACACAAAGCTATTTGAGTTATAGGAGCCCAAAAAGCATTACAAGCCAGCAGACTTACCTTTTTGCTTTCCTGTAACTTAAAAATAAGCATTTATTTTAAAAGTATAATAGTATAATCACAAGAACATCAGCAATCATTGCAAAATGAATCTCAATAAAAATATAGGCCCAAATCTACATAAAGCTTCATTCTTATGTATTTAAAAAAAAAAAACATGATTAACAAAATTGTACTTCCTTAATTCTGCTGATCAAGTAGAATTTTATACAGTAATGTTTGCCAGCCAGGTTTTGAGGTTTCTTTCAAGCGATCATCTCTTTTGAATAGGTTTTGCTTTTGTTTCACTGTTACCATTAGGTTTCACATTTTCTATACTATACTGACCTAAGTTGATAAAGTTAAAAATAGCACCACATAAGAACCAAAAAACAAAAACACATTTGGAAATACAAAACTATTTAGAGTATTTTTAGAGTTTCTGTTATTGGTGGTCACTTTATGAAGAAAACATTAACCACTGAAGTAATGGGGAAGCCATAGTGACTCTGTAATACTCACATATATAATAACAGACATATTGCTCGCAATTCCCATATAGTATTTTTTACAAAAAAAGGTACAAATCCCAAGTGCTGAGACATCACCTGGAATTGTAAGTAGGAAGTTACTGTGCACCTGAAACAGCTGTCTGGGAAAAAGATAAAATACTGCTTGGAAGTACTGTAGTTTAAACTACAACATCCCTTTCTGGCTAGTATCAACCAACCATTTAGAACGACTAAGTTAGATTTAGTTACCTGGTATGTTTCTACAGTACAAAATGAAGGTAGATTCTGAGGCCAGTAAAAACATTTAAAACCACAATGCTACTCTTGGGTTTGCTAATATAACAATACAAGTTCTATAAAAAAGGTCAGCACCACAGCTTGTCTAGCTTGAACTCTAGACAATGAACAAAACTCCAAACAATTCAACCCTAATTTGATAGATTTATGGCATTTGGTTTACATATCTGCTATAAAGCCAGGATACTTGACAAGGTTATTCACTTTGCTTACTTTTTGACACAAAACAATATTTTAAGAAATGAAAACCAAGCAACTTTCTTAAAAAAAAATCCCAGCAAAGTCCTAAGCCCTAGATAGAGATGAGATTTAAGAGTTGAAAGCCTTGTACATTATATTAACTTAGACATACTCTTACATTCACTCCAACCAGAACAGGATATGCAAGCTATGAAAAATAGCTATTTCAAAAACTAAAAAAGTTTCATTGACACCTAGAGGGGATTCATGAGGAAAGTCTCTTTCCCACACTGCTGCGTAACCCCCATTACTAGGAATGGAAGTTAGGAAGCACAATGAGGGAGAATATACCCTCTTAGTGTATCCAGCAGGGCTGCTAGTCTTATTTTAATATCCTTCTCTGATGGAATCTGTATTTTGCCAGATCAGTCAGTAAAGAACAATTTTACCACTTCCAAGATACTATGTCCTTTTTACTTTAGTGATAGAAATGTCCTTTTTACTTTAAGCATCTTCAACAGTGAAAAGTACCCAGCTTCCTTCAAAACAATGGATAATTATAGAGCTTCCTTCAGAAACCATATTGACCAGATTTCCAGAAGGTCAGGAAAATTAAAAGGCTGATATACCTGTACTGAAGACTAGTAAAAAAGCAAAACATTTAAAAATGCATTGATTAATGTGCTTTGTTTGGGTTGCACTTAGAAGTTAGTATTTTAATCAGGCGTGTTAGACATTGTGTGAATTTCCATACTAGAATCCATAGCTTCAGAGGCTGAAGTGTCATTATCTATTTTCTGTTCAAGAAATGCTTCTGTTCTTTCTGGAGATTCTACCCTGTTTCTTACTTCTGCTACTCCAGGGTGATTTTTTCTTAAATGCTGATTTAGTGTCCCTTGGAAAGGAAAACATTTCCCACAGATCTCACAGCGGAAGGGCTTATCATCAGTGTGGCCACGAATATGATACTCAAGTTGGTCCTTGCGTGTGTATTTCTTTCCACAAAACTTGCATACAAAAGGTGTGATTCCCATGTGCAACCGCATGTGTCGATCAAGGCTCCCTTTCTGGTTGAAAGACTTCCCACAGTAAATACAAATTAACCTCTCATTGTATGGATACCAGTGACCTCTTGCATTTCTTTCCCGTGGACTGTTTTCATATCCTGGGTTACTCACTATGGTTTCACCATCAACCCCTGGCATTAAACCCTGAACATCACTATGCAAGTGACCTGCAGATACCCGTTTTTGACGTGCACGACCTCCTCTGAAACAACTCAGCATGGACCTTGAAGGACTTGAATTGCTCAGGCTTCCAAAGGCTTCAGAAATGCTAGTAGCCTGGGATGGGGCGTGGGAAAATGAATAAACATGTTGTAATACAGATCCAAAAGAGCCTACATTTACTGCAACTACTTGCTCTCCATCAACCATTTCAGTATGGTATCCATCATCGCCAAGTGAGGAGCTATCAGAACAACTTGGCCTGTCAGATTTTTCCATTTTAACCTTCACCTCTTCAATCTGGCTCTCCCTTACTATCAGGTCCGCTTGCTCGTGATCACCTTCAATCTGAATTTCATATTCAGAGATACTTCCACTGCTTCCTCGATCTGAGTGCCCTTCTTCATGCAGACGACTGCGTAAAGTTTTCCCTGTGGCAGTGTCCATCCTTAGATCACTAACCGCTGTTGGCTGTCGCACCTGAGAGCAATAAGGAGGAGATATTTCAACAGGATTGGCAAAGTAGTTGTTATCTTTTACTCCATTGTGGCTTTCTTGATTCTCTTCAGCACCAACGGTGACAGAGTCAACATCACCAACACTGATCTTTGAATGGATACTCTCCAATATCTGTGTGCATTTGTCAATGACACACTGCATCTGTAGAAAGCTAGCTGCAGTTAGAAAACTAACAACATCTTTCAGCTGCAAAGACATCCTGCCAGTGTAACAAAATGAAAGTAACTGTTCAAAGACGTTAGGGTTTTTAATAACTGATATTGATAAGCCACTCATGGTACTTAATGCTGAATGGTCACGGAAATATGGAGAACTGGCAGCTAGAACTGCTTTATGGGCTCTAAATGGCTGACCCTGAATATGCACAATTATGTCACATAGCTTCCCTTGCAGACGAAGCTCATTTAATTGGCTCAGAACAGTGTTGCTGTACTCGGGCACATCAAACTGAATGAAACTGCTGCTGTCCATTTCTACTGGTGTAGAGTATAATCTGTGAAAGAAAACAGAAAGCTGTAACACTTCTGATTTACACACATTTTACATTTCAAAGATAAGTGTAAACACATGGCTGAAGAGGAATTATTAATTTTGCCTGTCTATGCTGTGTGTGATGACAAATTAATTCAAGTTAAAACAAAGGTTTAAGGTACATTTTAAGGTCAGGATTATTTCTACAAGTGGTTTGTCCCCTACTTACATCTTTATCTGCTGAATAACTGTCTTCTCTATTTACAGCTCAGGGGCTCTTGTACAAGAGGACATATATCAATGGTTCTTTATGAATGTTCACATCCAATCTAAAAGTAGCTTTATAACACAGGGATGCAATTTCACATTTCAACTGGGCGGGGAGGGCAACTTAGTGGGGGCCCTGGAAGCTCTCTGAGTTTTTGTGAAGGAAAAAATGTCAAAATCCATAACCAGTCACTCCCAATCACAGCTTCAAGGGGAGATCTTTCACTGCATTCATTCTAGAAAAACCTGAGGTTCTAAGTTGGCAGCCCTACTATCCACACGCTGGTCCAGGAAGGAGGGGGAACAATTTGGCACAGGAAGAGCTGTTACTGGTCACGCACTGGGTCCAATTAGTGACAACAGATGAGGTTAGAACAGGACTGCAGACAGACAGAAAGGTCCCTGGGGCTGCTCCATGTAGGAAGAGAAGGCTCCAAGATGCTCGCAGGACATGGAGAATTTCAGGGAGTGTAGACAGTGTCTGACTTGGGAGCCTGAACTATTCACACATGGGATGAAGCACAGATTGGGGGGGAACGAACCTGCCCACTCTGTCCTACCCAATGGAACCCCTGTTAAAACAGCATCTGGTAGGAAGGCAGAGCAAGATTAAGGAACCTGATTAACAGTCAACTTGCCTACAGGAGCTATAACCTCAAGTGCATGCTGGACCATGGAACAGGAGGCCCCATTCATACGCCCAGCAGATATTGTTGCAGTGCTGTGCACTGCTGCTGGCCACTAGGCCTGTCCTTGAGTCAGCCATCTAAAAGTATTTTTTTCTGAAACGCTTATTTCATCAGGTGCCACAGAATCTTCTAGAGATTGTTAAAGAAAACCACAAGCTTACAGATTGTTGGCTTCTTGTGATTGGGACTTACTATACAGAGGAATTTTGAGTATCTATCTCCAACGTGAAGATATTCACTGACTAATATACTGCCAAAAAGATTCATAAGAAGAGTGTGTTTAAACACATTTAATAGAATAGAGGGTGGTGTTCCTGCAGTATGCAGGGGAGGTAAATCTTGTAGCATTATTTTTAGTGGTGACAGAAAATGATTCCTTAATGACCTAGAAGAGTAGTATCCTGTTTTAATCAACAGAAACTAGAGGTCTGCATATAAATTACTGTAACAGCTATTTCTTAATTGGCCCATAGACTACATATCTGATACAAAGGAGACTAGCAACATATATTGGATGTTTCTCTCTCTCTGTCTCCACTTTCCCAATATTTTAGCTGCTCAGAAATGAATTACAAAATTTATACTGAAAATATTAAGGTCTGGAATTAGAATTGCAAAAGCAAGAAAATTCCAATTGAAGAGTGACATTCCATTCTTAATCTGCACTTCTAATCCTGGGTATCAGAGGTGTGCAGCCATTGCTACACTCACACACCATGTGTGCCACAATACTCAACTAGCAACTAACTAAATAATAAAGGATCAGCTTTCAACAATCTTTGGACTTCCTTCTTTGTGGTTTTCAGCCTGCCCCATTACTATTTGAAGGTTATACATATGTATTTGAAATGATTATTTTCTTCCTTCCTTCCCTTTATGTCAGCATATCTGTTTTTCATATGTTATCTAGGCATTTCAGATTTTATTGGGATATTAACTGTTTTCTTATAATCCCATTTATAAATCTTAAATAGCAACAAACATACAAACAAATGATTATCTAGAAAGCCAAAAAAAAAAAATCCCCCCAAACATCCTCAACTTTTGAATGTGTATCAGGAAGTGTTGCTCAAAAAGGGTCCACAGGAAAAAATAGTTTCAAAGTACAAAAACTAAACAGAAGGGCATTTCTGTAATTTTTTCACTACAGGGATGTTCCTGAAACCCAACTCTCCCTCCACCCCCCACCACACACACACACGGGGAAACATTTAGTTAACCACTGATCTCCTTCCCTTCAGCAACTTTCACAGCACACACCACTTTCCAATTCCAATACTGTCATTAATTAAATGTCCACAGCATTCAAATTCGTTTACTTATTTCTTCTCTTTTCCTTCTGAAGTCCAACCACATTATACACCCACTGCACCTGGTTTCTCTAGCTGGAGAAACTAGAATCCCAAGGTCAGTACGGCTTATTGGTGTCACAGAGAACACACATCCATCAATATTCTTTAATATGCCACTGGATTTATCTCCTGTTTATACCTTGTGTGCTGTGATGAGAGATATGATAGATATGGAATCTAATTTAAATTACACAACAGCTAATGAATTCCCCTCACAAACTTTAAAATCCACCAGTAGACAGCAAAGTGAAACCTGCTAGACGCAGCCCAGGATTTCTCTGCTGTCTAGGGTGCCATCCCCCACTCAACCCAGCTACACAGTCATCTTCACAGGTGGCAGCACTTCTCTACACAACACAGCAGGGGAACCAATATCTGAAATCAAATATTATATCACACTCAGAAAATGAAGCTCATTGTTTTTCTCTTTCCTTTAAACTCACCCCACGCCCTGCTTAGGAGGAGGTTAGGATTACTTCAGAATTATAGTCTGACATCTTCAAACCCCATCTGTCTAGTAGCCACTTTGTAAGGCTTGCTACATAGATTTAGAAAAGTTTAGAACATAAGAACGACCATACTGGGTCAGACCAAAGGCCCATCTAGCCCAGTTTCCTGTCTTCTGACAGTGGCCAGTGCCAGGTGCTCCAGAGGGAAGGAACAGAACAGGGAAACAGCAAATGATCCCACCCCTGTCACCCATTCTCAGCCTCTGACAGACAGCGGCTAGGGACACCATTCCTACCCATGCTGGATAATAAGCATTGATGGATCTGTCCTCCATGAAGTTATCTGCTAAAGTCCTGGTCTTCACAACATCCTCTGGCAAGGAGTTCCACAGGTTAACTGTGTGTTGTGTGAAGAAATACTTCCTTTTGTTTGTTTTAAACCTGCTACATACTCATTTCATTTTGTGACCCCTAGTTCTTATATTTATGGGAACAAGTAAATAACTTTTCCTTATTCACTTTCTCTACACCAGTCATGATTTATGAACCTCTATCATATCCCCTCTTAGTATCCTTTTTTCTAATCTGAAAAGTCCCAGCCTTTTTAATCTATCTTCATATAGCATTCATTCTGAATCCATAATTATTTTGGGGGCCATTTTCTGAACTTTTTCCAATGACAAAATATATTTTTTGAGATGAAGTAACCACATCCGTACGCAATATTAAAGATTTGGGTATAGCATGGATTTATACAAAGGCAATAAGATGCTCTGTTTTATTCTCTATCCCTCTTTTTAATTATTCCTAACACTGTTTGCTTTTTTGATTGCTGCTGCACTTTTGAGTGGAAGTTTTCAGAGAACTATCCATAATGACTCCAAGATCTCTCGAGTGGTAATAGCTACTTTAGTTCCCACCATTTTGTATGTATAGTTGGGATTATGTTTTTCAATAAGTATTACTTTGCATTTATCAACTTTAAAATTCATTTGCCATTTTGTTGCCCACTAACCTAGTTTTGTGAGATCCTTTTGAAGCTCTTCTCACAGTCTGCTTTGGTCTTAACTATCTTGAGCAGCTTTGTATCATCTGCCAATTTTGAAACCTCACTGATACCCTTTCTTTAAATCATTTATGAATATGTTTATTCACGTAAAGCATATTTTACAATTCTAATACACCGACAATGGTATTCAAGCACCATGTACTAGCAGGAAACAAGGCAATACAATGAAAAGGTTAAGATTACTTGATTGAAGTATAGAAATGCAGTTTGAACCTCTCTAATCTGGCACTCTTGGGACCTGACCAGTGCCAAACCAGAGAATTTGCTGAACCACAGATGGTCAATATCGTCTAGCACAGTGTTTCCCAATTTTATTTGGCCATGGAACCCTTTTCAGCTTTTCAAGGAACCCCTAGGTTTGTCAAGCAAAAAAAAAGGGGGGGGGGACCCACCAAGGCATGAAAATCACATTCCTTCCCCAAGACCCCACTCCTTTGAGGCTCCATCCTCTCCGTTCCCCTCCTCTCCATAACTTGCTATCCCCAGCCCTTGTACTCTCTCACTGGGTTGAGACAGGAGGTGTGAACTCTGGGGTGGGAATGAGGGATTTGGGTGTGGGAAGGGGTGAGAAGTGCAAGCTCTGGGAGGGAATCTGGATGCAGGAGAAGGGGGTGCTGGCTCGGGGAGGGAGCTCCAGGTTGGGGAGTGTTGGGCTCAGGTGGAAGGTTGGGGTGCTGAGCAAGTCACAGGTTTGTGGATGTGAGGGCGCAGGAGTTTGAGTTGGATATGTGAGGGGCTCAGGGCAAGGAGGCTGTGAGTATGATGGGCTCAGGACACAGATTTGCCATGTGTGGATGGTGCAGGAGTGTTGTGGCAGAAGACTGAGGATGTGGGGATGCAGGAGTTTGGGGATGTAAGAGGCTCAGGACAGGGGATTCCACTGTATGATAGGCTCAGATCTGGGGTCAGGTGGTGCAGGAGTGTTATGATGCTGCAGTAAGATTGGGATTTGGCCCCAATTGGGGACATGTTGGCCAGGCTTCATTTTAAATAAAATATTATGTCAAACTCAAAAGGTTTTAGCACTGTCTTTATTTATGAGAGGGGCGAGGAACCTGTTTTGAGTCAAGGGTCACTGACCCACAGAAAAGTGAGTTGGGGCTACACAGGTGAGATCCAAAAAAACCCCCAAGCCTTATTAATGTGGTCCCAACTGTGCTGGTGCAGGCAGGGGACAGGGTGGTAGTGGGTGGCAG